TAACGCGTTTTCAGAGAGTATTGAAAATAATAAATTTATTAAATCAAAATTGTTTGAAACATGAATTTTATACGGGAAATGCCATCTTATTGTGCGCAAATAGCAATCACGTTTTTTAGAGGACAATAACTGTTCGAGTTAATAATTATTTATAAATAATATCAACGGTAATGGACAATCATGGATTTTCTACCGACATCATATTGATTTCGCGTCAATAATTTACATTTTCACATTTAATAATTAAATTAAACACAAAAGATATTAATATTTTTGCAATTTTAAATACATAACTAAATGTGATACATGTAATTTATAGTACAATTTATGATATACACGCACCAAGCTCTTTTTTACACTAAATATCATAACACAAAAACATTAATAATTACGTAATATTACACGAAAAGTAAAATGTAGCTGCCGTAGCTAAAAACTGCGTGTGGCAACTAACTTTCAGTTGTAAAATATGGACAGTTAATATTTTGCTGCCGTGCCTATTGTGTTAGGTGCGACAGCAAGCCGTTTGCTGTGGTGTAGAAATTTACAGTTATGGCAGCAAAATATATTTAGCAAACCATGAGCAGCTACGGTAGCGAAAATGTTTCTTTCAGCGTAATAATTCTCGACGAAAGAGCTCTGTTCAAAATCGTTTTCCACGTGTTTCAATTGTACATCGCTCTCGTACTCTGCGTGACTCAGATTTTCCATTCCGTTCGGAACGATTGAGATAAAAATACGGAATAACATTGACGGAGTCGCGTGCGGCAATATCAGGGGAGCATTATTCGCCGTTAGATTAATATCCCGTCGGCGGCATCGTGCCGTCGTTTCGCCGTTGCCTTGTTCTGGTAGTCTGCCAAAAGCGCGTAGTATTGTACGTCCCGGAACCGGAAACACCCACCCGTATAACCGTCGGGGCGCACATCCGAATATCACCGAGGGAGGGAGCGCCCTTGGAATTGCGCGCAGCCTCGAGATCGAGACTCTCGCGAAACCCAGGCTGAAGTTGGCCGCGCCCGTTGCAAAACTTCATTCGAATAAATTAATTAGCCCGATGCTACAGGCAGAGACGAGAACGGAAGAGTTGGCGACGGGACGTTTTGCGGGGTTGAAAGGCGATTAAGTCACAGAGACGTTCTCGTAGGGCCGTGCATGCCGGACTCGTGGCTTGGCACCAACAAATAAGTGACTGCAAGTCACAACGAATAACTAAGCTCTTCCATGAAGCTGCTTAATGCCGGATTTACACGCAAAATTATTCGTATTATGAACGTCGTACACAAATCTTCATTCACATCGGTGATAAATATGTTTAAGCGGTAAATTTACAGCACCCTTTTTGTTGTTGTAATTTAGGGATGTCACTGTGGAATAAATGTCAAACGATGATAGCAAAGTTTCCTGATATAATTCATGTGCGATTTATCTTAATGTGCCATTTAAAGTTTAACAAGATAATTAATGTTCTCCTTAACAGCTTTAATTTTATCAACGACGGAGGTGAATAAAATTATTTTAAAGTTACCGTTGAATCGATATGCCACGAGTGTCGAACATCTCTTTGCAGCCTCTTCTACTTTGAATTAGAACGGAGATACGAAGTGTAAAAGATCGTCGAATGATTACGTCTCGTCAACGCCCTACCACAGGGTTTCATATCCTGAAACCCAGGCTAGGCGATGTGAAATGAGCTTTTCGAAAGCCGTAGATAATCCCAACTAAAAGACTACAAAGTTCTCGAGACGAAGTACTCTTAACGTTTATCGTTAGATCATGAACTGCTCATCGTGTTCTAAAGAGACTGCCATTTGCACCGTGAATGCCTTCCACAGTATCTGTTCGTAGGCTGTCTTGAGAATCAAATTATGGTTTTTTCAAAAGTTTAATTTCCACGTCAAATGAAGCTAAAAATGGCAATTTTAGGAATACTCTGTTAATGCAATTATAATCGGACAAATTATTAATAACATTATTTCTTTTAAATTACGAACTTTTACGATCTTACACTTAAACAAATAGTAATTAATAGTGCCGAAATGGAAATACAATGGCAGTAGTATTTAATAATAATACAATGTAAAAGCGCTCGGGAAGCAAGGAGAATGGAACCATGCGAAAAGCAGCCTATAAAACTGATTTTGCTCGCAATTAGAAGAAGCAAATTGCCGCTCCAGATTACGAGTTCTGAGATGCCTTGTTCGCCGAGCCAGTTAAACTAGAGGGGGCCATAAAACTTCCCTCGAATAAATTAATTAACCTGGAAGATCAGGAGCAAGTAAAGTGGAAGCTCAGAGGGCAATTAAGACGACGCGACGTATCGTTCTTGCTGCACTGTAATATTGGGTACACCTTCGTGGTACAAAACGAGAATATACGCGAATAGTTTCAGCGAGCTAACAGAAGACGTGGCTGGATCGCGGCAAATTGAAACGTTATTTGGAGGTGCAAATAGCCCGACATCGCGATACATGCGCAATTACACACTTAAATTCTTTCGTCCACCTATACAGGGTGGACCAGTTTAATTCGTACACGGTAATATCTCCTCAGGTAGGAGTGATGGCGGAAAATGCCCCAGACAAAAGTTGTTGGGTTTCGAGGGGGGCATAAGATGGTGTCATTAATTTAACCTTGAATAGTTGCTTGAAGGTCATGTGAAGGTCACCTTCAATTTTTTAACTGGAACCCCCTATTGTTCATTATACTATCTTATTCTACTAATTAATATGAACAACTTTTGTGTGACATTTTTTTTATTTGCCTAATACTTTTTGAGATATTCAAGAGAAAACTTGTAACTTTTTCAATGTTTAGCTTATGATATCTCGAGAACTGTTTGTCGGAGGGAAAAGTAGTACAGGACTTTTTGACTTAATTTGGTCTCAGGAATATGCTGTTACAATATAATATAATTTATTGATTCCCCTTAGGGTTACAATCACAAATCTTACTTCTTAAGACCGCATATACAGGGTGCTACGCAATATATTGACTTCCGGTCATGGGAAGGTAGAGGGGACTAAGACAAACAGAAAAGTATTGTACTATTTTGCGCTTGGACGAATAGTTATCGAGATACGAAATTTTAAAAATCGCCGTATTAGCCCAACCTACTGGCGAATGTAAGCGCGCAGTGAGATGCGTCGGCCTAGCGGCCCCGCGCGGGGAGACGTGCGAGCGGTCGCGTAAGCGGCGGAT